CAGAGCTCTTGTTTCACTGACAGGGGGAGTCATGGGCCAGATGTGCACATGGCAAATCAGTGAGTAGCAGAGCTGACCAGCTAACCTGTCTTTTGATTCTCAATTAAGCCTTGTCCCTCAACATGGGGGCGAGGTTGTGTGTGTGTGTGTGTGTGTGTGTGTGTGTGTGTGTGTGTGTGGCAGACAGTACACCACAGTGAAAGACAGGAACCCTGTGCTCTTCCTCGTTTGCCCTGCCCTCCCTGGCTACTCACTGCCCAGTGGCCTCTTTCTTAGTGATGTGTCTTTGTCTCACTAGCCTTTCTCTTTTTGTCTTCTCTGCCTCACTTCCCACCTCACCTTTCTTCCTATGCATTTTCCCTGGACTTGATCACAATCAGGTTCAATTCAAGGAGTTACTAGGTATGGATTCACGCTGCAGAGAGAGTGAAAAGTAAGTCGGTTCGGGTATTTTAATATGATTTAAAAATAGTATTTGGTGCGTGCTCAGTAGATGTCTGGAAGTGTGTTTCACGCGTGTTATCTCCAAATCCTTTCAGCAGTGCACCACAGTTGTTGCTTTCTCCATGGTATAGATGAGGAAACAAAGCTTAGAGAGGCCCAGGCCCGGCCTAAGCAGGGGTGAAATGGTGGTGTGTCCTGAGCCTCACGCCTAAGCAACCTACTCACTCATTCTAAAGCCCGGGTTCTCACCTCCATTGGAAATTTAGGCCTGTCATCTCTACACTTCAGTGAGTGAGAACTTGCTGGAACTTGTTAATTAGGCAAACACTTTTAATTTTTTTTTTTTTTTGGTCTTTTTGAGACAGGGTCTCCCTGTAGCCCCAGCTGTCCTGGAACTCACTATGTAGACCAGGCTGGCCTTGAACTCACAGAGATCCCCCTGCCTCTGCCTCCCGAGTGCTGGAATTAAAGGTGTGTACCACCACACCCTTTTAATTTTATGGACCAACAAAAACTTGGAGTTTACTTTTAAATGAAAACAGAAACACTGTAATACATTACACTGAAGCTAGCAAGTGCTTATCCATTAGCAAGGAAATGCCAAACTGCAGCCTATCTCTTTGTTCTGGCTTTAATCATGATGTATTTGCAAAATCTTAGGTTGTTTGTTCTGCTGAGCTGGAGTTGGTCACACTTCATCCCTTCAATTTGTATTAATAAACAGACTGGGATTCTGGTGAGTTGTTCCTTAGGAAAGTTAATGAAGAATTCTACAGTTTCCAATTCATGCTGATTGGCAAAATTGGGGGCTTCATTTGCAATTGTAATCTTTTATGGAAGTTATATAACAAATTATTAGCTCTTTTAATAAAGGGACTTTCTCATGCATGTAATTTTTATGAGGCAACTGTTTTATGTAGTTTCTGAACATTTTAATTTTGGTGCATTTTCTCACCTTCAGCAGGAATAGACCCGAATCCCTCTGGCATAGAGTCCTCAGTACAGAAAGGAAGCATAGGGTGGACTTGGTTGAGAATGCATCCCATTCCGTTCAGTGCCCATCATTTCCCACCTGGCAGCCACTGAGAGCCCCCCACATGCAGGCATTGTGCTAGAAGCCATTTCTGGCTTCCAAAGCTCTTCCAGAGTTACCTCCATTTTACAAGTGAGGATACTTTGGGAAAGTAAAGTCCCAGGGTCACAGAATAGTGTTTCTGGGTGGTCTGGGTCTAGGTCAGTGTTTCTAGGTCTTTGGTATCTTCTTCAAGAATTAAAGATGCACACAGACTGAAAAGTAGCAAGAATGCTTCATTCAAAAATGAAATAACAGTATAGATTAGAAAGATTGACAAGGGGCCACATGAGTGCAGATCGTCGAGGGTCCTGACTATTGTTTGGGGCTTCCTTTTATGGGGATCAAGAGAAGGAAGAATTTGGCTGCTAAGGGAGTAGTTTTGATGGTTCTCTATTTCATTAACAGATTGTTACATAACCATTTCTCTTCTACACATGCCCCTTCCCACAATGCATCTGATTTTAATAAAATGCAAGCCCAATTATGTGTAGGCATAAGATAGTAAATAGGGTATTTGCCTTAATATTTCATTTGGGAACACAGCTTTATCTTACTGCACATGCATCCAAAACTAATTGAGACTGGATTGACCTTCCTCGTTTCATACCCAGACATAAGAAGAGTGTGATTGGATGGAATCTAAGTTTGTTGATTGTTAAAGGGAGGAGAAACTTATTCCATTGTTTGAGTGGGGTATGGGTGTAGCTCAGTGTAGGTGGGGGGGTCTTAGGTTGCTAAGTGGATTGTTCAGAGCTTGATGTGTATGCTTAGTATGTGCAGGAAAGTGTCTCAGGCTACCAAGTGCATTATTAGAAGAGGGGTATGTGCATAGCCCAAACCAAGTGGAGTTCTAGGTTACTAAGCCATTCCCTATACTTGCCTGCCTCAGTAGGTTGTAGAAATAGGATTCAGCTTGCTGCCTCACTGCTGGAAAACTTGCATTCTCCTTCTGCCCTCGTGTCTGAGCTGCTGGAGTCAGGGTTTAAGGAGAAAGTGTTGTTGTATGAGTGGACTTCAATATTCATTTCAACACTCACATAGTGATGCCCTCCTGATGGAGCTGCCTTCTGCCCTACTCTGCTCTGAGGTGACCTGCAGTGTGCCTGTGAAACAAAGGGAAATCATCAAATTGGATCATAAAACATGATTTTTCATTTTGTCTCAAGTAAAATCCAGGTTTCAGCATTTTTCACAGAAACACTCAACAGAAATGCTGAGTCGCAGGAGAGGGTGTTTTGCCAGCACGGATTTCTTCCTTTTTAAAATTCACTTTCAGTTAGTGAAGGAAGTTTGGTTGTATAGAAATGGAAGTCGGGTCTGAAAACAGCAATGCCTGCTTGAAACAGAGGATTAAGTCTAAGTGACAGAGCTAAGGGAAGATGGAGCAGGCAGGGCTTGGCAGCTAAGCGCTGAAAAAAGATGGTGTTCACTGACTGTGAGCAGAGGCTGAGCTTTACAGCCACCGAAACGCAGACACTTGTGGCCTTGGCTCTGTGTCTGGGGTTTCTGTGAGCCATTAGCTCCACACAAGCAAGTTCACCCCATGATTCAGATGTACCCCTCATGATTACAGGTTTCACTGATGGAAATCTTGATTATTAATGAGAGAGACAGAGACAGAAAGAGAAAGAAAGAGAAAGATTCAGGCTTTAGTGTTAGAGTCAATTCCTGCGTTCTTAGGTAATTTTCAACTCTTGCCCTAAAAGTAACTGCTTTTTATGTCTCTTGTTGTCTCTCATGAATCAGTGTGAAATATTTTGTAGTAGCTGAAAAACAAATGTTTTTTGAAAGTTTTCAAAAACTGTGTGGAGCCGTTCGATGTAATCCCTTGCCCTGTTGTGATCCATGGTAGGCAGCTGACCACACTGGTGGAGAGCTGGGGAAGGGGTAAGGACAAGTGTCACCTATAGCTCCCAGAATACATGCAAGAGGGTTTCCTTGGGGAGCTCTGGGAAACCCCGGGTTCCACCACCCAACGAGGAAACAAATGGAAAGTCTGAGCCTGAGGTCACAGAGCGGGAACTCCCCGCCCTCTTGGCCTGGTGGTGTTTTTCCAGTTTCAGGCATCCAACATGTATTTTCTCCACAGCCTTTCAAGGTCTGTGAGAGTGTTGGGAGTAGTGAAATTCCCTGGGGAATGGAGCAAAAGGGGGTGCACTTGTATGTCATTACCACTTTCTCCTTGTCTGGCAACCTGGGTAGGTCTAGGAGTGCACAAGGAAAATCACAAATAAAGCTGTTAAGCAGTTAACCCATCTCTTGAGCCAATCTCCTAAGAACTAGCTCTGTCTTAAAGATATAAAAATCCAAATAATAGACTATGACGAAAACAAGGTCACAGTCAGAATTGTCAGTGTTTCCTTTCCAGAAGTTTCAAAGTATCCTTTCAAACAGTTTTCATCTCTTTCTTGAGGAGCCCATTTTTATTTCATCATCCTAGCCCTTTGTAGTCTTCAAAGTACCTGGTGTGAAGATGCCAGATTGTGTGCCTGGAGGAGATGAGGAGCAGACTCCAAAGCACCACAGGGAAGGGATTCACAGCTCGCAGGGGCCCCACCCCAGCCCTCACAGCCTTCTTTGGCGTTCTGATCCATTAAGAAGAAACGTGACAGGGAGCCTCAGTGTGCAGAGGGTGGTTTCAGGTTGAAGTAGGACAGAAAGAGAGCCTCCCAAAGGACAAGTCATTGACTACTGCCTAGTATTGCAATTAGCGAGATTTTTAGAAATCTAAGACTCAAGACCCATTAGACCCTCTAGATAACAGGTATTTAATTTTGAGTGTCAGGAGAAATAGAAGGATCAGGGACTAGGGCTTAGTAGTATAGTGCTTGCCTAGCATGCTTAAAGCCCTGATTTCTTTTCCTAGCATTGGAAAGAAAAAGGAAAACGGGGGGCGGGGACAGGGGAGAAGAGGAGAGCAAGAAGGAGAGGAAAAGAGAGGAGAGGAGAAGGCAGGAGGCATTCCATTATACAAAGGCTGTAGGCAGATGAGAGTTCAAATCCAATGCTTCTTTTTCCCGATTTCTTGATTTCAGGCCAGTGAATTTTTGCTTGATCCTTGGTGTGCCAAAAAATAAAAGTCTCTGCTCATTGCAACTGATAGAGTCATTTTTGGAATTAAGTATATAGAAAATTCTAGCAAATTTTCATGCATTAATGGAACGAGTGTGTCCTTATTCCATTCAGAAGCAACACTTCTGACCCTTGAGGGGGTATACCAGGCTTTAAACTTGCTGGGAACTTTTAATGATGTGACATGTGTGGTATGATCTTGCAAATAAGATCAGCTGTAGATTGTGTTTAATCCAAGAATGGACATGAAAGATGAAAGATAAAACCAGAAGGTTCCATCTCATACTGCTAAAGAGGTGACTTCTCAGCCCGGGGACAAGCCGCGTGGCCTCCCCTTCACTCCTTTTGTCTTTATTATCCTTGAGCTCCAGAACTTACAGCCTGGCTTTTCCCTTTGTTTCCATTCTAGGAAATTGATGGAAAATCTCTGCTCTTGATGACGAGGAATGATGTGCTGACAGGACTTCAGTTAAAGTTGGGGCCTGCTCTCAAAATCTATGAGTATCACGTGAAACCTCTGCAGACCAAGCATTTGAAGAACAGCTCTTCATAGTAAAGTCCAACTGAGGTCTCAGACCTCAGAAAAATAAAAAAATTAAAAAGAAAAAAAAACGAAAATGATGACGTAATTTAGTTTCATGCGAGAAACTTTGTAAACAGGATACATACATGTGTATATGTAAAGAATTTCCATCCAACAAAACGTTATCCTATTGGATAGACTAGGCAATTCATCGGCTGACCTGACTCAGTCAGCAGGAGCAGAGTCAGAACATGCACAAGACGGCTTTCTTTCTGGTGTTTGTGAAATGAGTGATCTTTAACATCTCACACTCTGACGTACCCTCCCGACAAGGGCTTTGAAATCATAAGATTTTTCTTTGTTCGTACGGATGGGTTGGAATGAGCATCTTTGGGTTACATACTTAGAAATGAGGAGAAACAACACTATTTGGGGAGGGGAGAAAAGAGAGGGATTGCTGTCCTCCGTGAATGCCTCTGCTCCATAGAACATGTGTTACTTGGATGGAATTGCCAACACCCTTTTTATAGAGGGTCCTCCACTTGACCTTATTAAGGTTTTATTGAGACATGCTGCGGTGTTTGAAATGAACATGTACCCAGTCCCTTCAGGAGCAGAACTGTCACTCTGAAAAGAGAAACTTGTTTTGCCCTGGGGATATCCATCCTAGTCAACTCACTGTCACAGGGGTGATATTTTCTGCTTACAGTGACTTGCTTACATTGGTTCCTTGTTGCTAAAGAAAGCAGTTTGTTCCTGTTTTTGTTTACTTTATGGTTGGTATTTATAATAATTTGTTTCTGAAGAGATTTGCCAAGAGTTAATAGAGCTCAAAGCCTTGTTACTAGTACAGAATATTTTTATATATATTCCTTCACGATGCTGTAATATTTTTTTAATTGTCATGCGTACTTTGGTTCCTGGTTTGAGTGCTTGTCTTTGAGATCTTGAAAAAGTGGGCTTGCTACATCTCTGTTTAAAGAGATGCGTGTTGAGCCGCTACGTGTCGATGCCTTGTTGAATTGGTGCTTTGTGGTTGCAATAAAGCATTGCTTCAGCTCACCCAGTATGTTTTTGGTTTCTTCTCATTATTCCTTCCTTGAGAATTAAAGATTAAAGTCTCCTACAAACCACAGAGAGAAAGTTAGCCTTTTAAAAACTTTAGGATGGGTGAGGCAAAGGTGTTTACCACCAAGCCTAGGACCTGAGTTCTATCCCCTGGACCCACATGGTGGAGAGACCTGACTCCTGAAACATGTCTTCTGACCTCCAAATGCGCATGTGCAGGCACATACAATAATACATGAAAAATGTAAATTAAAAGTAACCTTATAGAAACTGTATAGATCTATATATAAATTGAGCCTCTTTATAAACTAAATCATCCAAGCAGATATCATCCCTTCTCCTAGTCCACTGTCTTAGTTTGTTCTTCATCGCTGTGACAAAATACTCTGACCAGTACCAACTTGGGGAGGAAAGGGTTTACTCAGCTTACGTCTCCCAGGTCGCAGTTCATCAGGGAGCCCAAGGTAGGAACTCAGGGCAGGAACCTGGAGGCAGGAGCTGGAGCATGGGGCCATGGAGGAATGCTGCTTACTGACTTGCTCCCTTGGCACCTGCTCAGCCTGCTTTCTTATGCAACACAGGCCCACCTGCCCAGGGGTGGCACCACCCATGGTGGGCTGCGCCCTCCCACATCACTCATCAAGAAGATGCCCTTCAGACATTGCCACAGGCCAGTCCAATAGAGGAAATTCCCCGATTGAGGCTCCCTCAACCCAGGTGTGTCAAGTTGACACTAAAGCTATCCAGCACATCCACCCAGCAGTCAATTTTAGGTATTATTTTAGCCAAAGATATTTTACTTGCCTATCAGGATCATAGCTGATTTTTTGGGTTTTTTATTTATTTATTTGAATATTATTTTATCTTATGTGTAAGAGTGTATTGCCTGCTTATAGATAAGTACACCCATGTTTTGCAGTGCCCACAGGGGTCACAAGAGGGCATCAGATCCCCTGGAACTGGAGTTACAGATGGTTGTCAACCACCATGTTGGTGCTGGGATTCGAACCCAAATCCTCTGCAAGAGCAGCCAGTGGTCTTAACCTCTGAGCCAGCTCTCCAGCCCCGTGGTTGATTTTTTAATTCTGAGGAAAGCAATGGGATTTCAGTCCAGACAAACCTCATATCTCAATACACAAAACTTAGCAGGGAGCCTGTGGATCCATGAGCTGTCCTCTCCTCCCTATGTTAGAGAGCACCATAACTCAGTGCTCTGTAGAGATCATTTCTCTGAAGAATGTATAATCTAAAGATAAGTGTGTAAAGACCTGGGAAATGGTACAGTGAGTGGACTTCAAAAATACATTCCAGGCTGGGCATGTAGCTCAGTTGGTGGAGTACCTGCCTAGCATGCAAGAAAGGTCCTGAAGTAGATCACCAGCACCATATAAACTAGGTGTGGTGACTCAGGGGTGTAATCCTAGTATAGGGGAGTTAGGGGCAAGCGGATCAAGGAGTTCAAGGGCAGCCTGGATGTACATAATGAGCTTGAGGCCAGCCTGGGTTGCAAGACACCGTATTTGAAACAAACTAAAAGTGCATTTCAGTTGCGAAGTTTATGGAGTGTCTGACACTTCCTATTTTGTTTTTGCAATATAAATGGAGAAAATGGCTACAAAAGGGATGTTTTCCACACCCAAATTCCTACCTAAGGCACGAGCACAAAAGTCACCGTGTGAAGTGACAGAGACCACAGCTCAGAGTCCCCGGCTGTGGAGACTTGGATGGGAGGTCACGGAGGAGGGTGGAACGAAGAACTTGAGTTTTTAAAAAAATATTTTGATTGATTCTTTGAGAATTTCATACAATGTATTTTGAGCATTCATTCCCAGTTTCCCAGGACTCAATCTAGTCCCCACCCTGGGTCTTCAAGCTTACTCTGAAGCTGCTGAAGGATGTAGGATTCCCCAAGCACCAAAATAAAAGTTTATAAAGGAATTTTCAACAGTGAAAACATGGTGATGTTTGACCTCTGATTTAAGGGATAGCGTAAGAAGTGCCCGAGACCTGATCTGCACTAATACCTTTTGCGTTAATTTGAAATAGGTTTCCTTGTGATTGATGAGACTACCAACCTTATCCCTCATTACTAGACAATGTAATAAGATGGATGCTACCTCTTCATTCTCACAAAAATGCCCAGACTTGCGCTGGAGAGATGGTTCAGTGGTTAAAAGCACTGACTGTTCTAGCAGAGGACCTGTGTTCAAATCCCAGCACCCACAAGGCAGCTAACAACTGTTCATAATTCCAGTTCTAGGGGATCTGACACCCTCTTCTGAGTACTGCAGGCATTGCACAGCACAGGTGCACTTACATATATGCAGGCAATACACCCATACACATAATTTTTTTTTTTAAATGTCCAGACAAGGGATGGTGCTAGGCCCCTATGATGTTAGGGACCCAGTCCTTTCCACTCCATCACTGCACAGCACAAAATTGCTGTATCAGCCATTGCCATCACCACATGAATTCCAACTGGTAAGGAGAAGAAAGAAACAGAGCTTCTTCCTTTTAGAACACTTCCAAAAATTATGCGTGCTACTTCTTCCTAGATCTTGCTGACCAGAATCCAGTCTCGTTGTCATATGCAAGCTGCTAGGATGCTTGAATTATTCTCTTACTTGGAACCTGTGAACCCAGTTAAGAGTCCAAGTCTCATTACTCTGTTGCAAAATGGAAACGAATTTGCCCTAACCCACCTACATGGAAGCAATAAAATCTGGCCCCAACTGGTTGCTCTCTAGAAGGAAGTACTACCCAGCCCAAGAGTATACACTTGTAGCTAAGCAACCGAACCTCAGTCAGTCCCAAACTGAAAGTCACCAAATGCCAAGCAAAGCCAAACACCAAACCAAAGCAACTGGGTAAGCTCTGAATGTCATTTCCTTCCTTCTGGTTATGAAAATAGCTCATCACATTGTGATGAGGACATCCCACACCGTCAGTGGTGCCCAGCTACACAGCCTGTTTCTTGCTCAAACTTGCTTAAATTCCAGGGTGTTTTTTTTTTTTTTTTTTTTTTTAATGTAGATAGGGAATGAGGACTATTTAAGCACAACTTTAACTGTATTTTGCCCCAGGTTGAACTTGGGATATATTAACCCATCATCCTTCAGGGTTAAGCATCTCCATGTATATGGCAGGGAATTCCTGAAAAGCAAGTGGAAAAGTGAGAAAAATCATTCCTTAGCTTCTGGCGACAGTGTTCAGGCAAAATTATAAGCTAATAATCGTCTGTCTTTCTCACACTCAGAATGCAGGGCCACGGCAGGCAGGGAGAGCAAGCGCCTTTGCAGTGGCTAAAGGTGTGCATGCCCCTCTATGTCAGGGAAGACCACCCTTGAGGCAGGCCACAGAGATAGTTGACACCCCAAAGGTAGGCAGCTTTGATTCTTCTTCAGGTCACACTCTATTTCTGTTAGTGTGAACTTGGTCTGCATCTGGTCACGAACACACATGCCACATGGGGACACAAACCCCATGTGGGAAAGATCATGCTTGGATGCCACTGTATCTTATTACAAAGGGGCTGTGAGAACTGATGGATGTTGACTTTAATTATTCATAACCCCACAGGATGACAAGATATTAGAATAGAGGGATTTAAGAAGTACCTGCTTTCCACCTTCTTTTCATAACATTCAAACCTTGGATTCAGACTCTACAAATTAGATGTAATGAGCTGATTTAAAGGATCAGTCACAAACTGGTCACTTTTCAGTGGCATCTAAACTGGCATGTGTTCCTTTGAGGTGAGTGTGTGTGTGTGTGTGTGTGTGTGTGTGTGTGTGTGTGTGTTTAAATGACACTGGCACACTTCCAATGAAGCTGAAAGCTCCAATGTGTTAATGCCTTTTATTGTAGCTTCACATTTTTGTATTAACTGAACTCCAAAGGCATTTGAGGTTTGGATACCATTCCACCCAACACCATCTTAACAATGCAGAAAACACAGAGCCTTCTTAGAGTAAGTTAATTCAGGAACTCAAGATTGTAGACTGATTTAATTGACAATAAATATGTTGGTTAGTGGGTATGAGCATCATTTTTGATAGTGACTGGTTAATGGACATGAATATGGAGAAAAGAGGCCTACTGCTGGCAAGGTCTTTGTTCTATTTTCAACAAATACCCTACAGGATGAGATTTCTTTTTCTCCCTTTGAGATTAACATATGCTGTCAGGGACACACGTCTTTTGATTACATCAGTGAAATATGTCTTTGAGGGATTTAATTTGCAAAAGTCTAATGACCCACAGTTGCCCAACCATTCCCAGATTTGGAAGCAAAAAGCAAAAAGTACTTACTGGTAGTGATTCATCTGCCTTCGACGATCCTTGCAAATGGGATCCACAGGGGTCAGGTCTGGGCCCAGAGCCATGAAGAGTTTTCTGTAATGATGTGGAGGATGATGTTGAATGTTCAAAAAGCTGACTGCTGTAGGAAAGATATGTCTCTTAGGAAGAAACTTGTTAATTCTCCTTCTAAACCAAGAACAGAAACCACAGGAAGGAGAGGGAGCACATTGGGTGCACTAATGAACAGCTTGTTAGCTTCATGCGGGAGCTCCATAGGCAATTAAATAGCCTGGGTACCATTTCTGGCCACTCATGGCAGTGTGGTATAGAAAGACAAAATGATCATGTCCAAGTTCATTTGGTGACCATGCCAACTGTGCATCTCAGAATCCAGCAGTGAGGTCCAGTGATGGAGGGGCCTATAGTAAAGCTGCAGACGTCTTTGGCCACCAGTAGGTAGCTAAACTAATACCTCCACCTCAGTTAGGTGAGGGTATTCCTTTGTACAGTTTTTGTTAAGGATTGTGCTAGGCAGACAAACGACTCCAACCCCACCCTTACTTGACATGGGAACCTCAGTAAGGTGAAAATAACGCTAAATATGTCCATCATCACATGCAGGGAATAGCTTTCCTGGGCAGACAGATCTATGTTTAAGCAGAGAAAGGAGAGCAGTTAGATGGG